GGTTTGGTATATATATTTAGGATTATCACCCTCGCAGCACATTCGTCTACTCCAGTGTTTCTCAACCTTGGCCACTTGAAGATGTCCGGACTTCAACTCCCAGAATTCCCCAGCCAGCGAATGCTGGCTGGGGGATTCTGGGAGTTGAAGTCCAGACATCTTCAAGTGGCCAAGGTTGAGAAACACTGGTCTACTCTACATCATTTGCAATGTTATTGAAGGAAAGAGGCCTCGATCGCAATTTAGTTGGTATAGGATTGCAGCTTTCTTTCCTGCAAGAAGTGCCACTGCGCGGCTTTTTAAGCCGTTAGCATTTTCGTTTTGGGGGAGCAGTTCTTGAAACACCCCGATTTGTAGGCAAAAAGATTTCGCCTCCATCCTCCCGATCTCCAGGAAGATCGCGAGGGGCTGCTGAAGGCGATACGATTAGGCTGCCAATTAAAGCGCTTCCACGCCAGAAGTTCCTCCTAAAAGGATCCAGACAGAACTCGAGATGTGATCCACCCCCAGTGGAGGCAGAAGAGACTCTCGTCACCCCTCCTGGCGACTTTACATCTAATGCAGGAGATCATAACTGTGACGTCACCCCAGGAAGGAGGACGCGCGTTTTTCAATTGTTCTCGATCACTTCCGAAGTCGCCTCCTTCGCCCACTTCCTCGGCCATTTCGCTTTCATCTATATGGCACAGCGGGCGGTTGCGCCTCTTATTTCTATGAGCTCAATCACTGCTACTTCCGGCAACTCTATGATCCCGACGGGAAAACATTTGGATCCTTTCTAGGCTTCTGTTTTCTATGGGAGCATCCGAACCGCAGTACTTACTACACTTTCTCCTCTTACTCACACCCACCCCCGTCTCTCCCTCCCTCCCTCCTTCCTCGAGCGCCAAAGCTCCGCTTGTGAATCACCCTTCTTCATTAGTGCCCTCTCACATCTCTATGCCTCTTCACTTCCGGTCTCCAAGCTCCAATCCGCCGGCTCCGCTTGTTCCTCTCTCTCTCTCTTTCTCCGGTGCAGAAAAAAAAAAAGAGAGAGAACGTCTCTCCGAACATCCGTCCTCTCTCCTGTTCCCTCTATGATATCTTCTTAAAGCTATCTCGTCATCCTCCTCCACGAGTGGGCAGGGGCAGGCTGGCGATTCCTTCTTCCTCTCTCTCTCTTTTGGATCGTACCAAGCTGGAGCCGAGCCGGGGGGGCGGCGGCGGCGGGGGAGGGAAGATGGCGCAGGCCTTGTCCGAAGAGGAGTTCGAGCGCATGCAGGTGCGTCTGGCTGGCTGGGGAGGTAAGGGACGGGGAGGGGGGTGGCGGCAAAACGAGAGATGCCGGCGGGGACCCGTGAAGCATCCTCGGAGCAAAGGGACGCGAGTGGGGCAAGGGACGCGCCTTGGAAGAGTGGGCTCCGGTCCCGGGAAGCTCTTCCAGCGGAGAGTGGGGCGAAGGGTCGGGGGTGCAAAGGCGAGAGGAGGAGGGGGCGCCATGTCCTAAGAGCTCTGCATTGGAGGATACGTCTCCCTCCCCCGAGCTGCCCCCCCCCCATACGAACTCGAGCAAAACCGAGTAAGGAGCGGAGAGCCCTCCGCAGCTGCATCCCCGGCTCCCTTGCGCACATTCCCCGCAGTCGCGCTTCGAACCTTATGGGGACACCTCGAGGCTCGTTTAAAGCGCCCGAAGCCAGCCTTGCCCCCAACTGGTCTGTCTGGACTACACTTCCCAGGATCCCTCCGCAGGGCAACCTCTGGAAGTTGTAGCAGCTGAGCACATCTGGAGGACAGAGACGGTGGGAGGCTGCCTTTGGGAATTGCATCCATTCATTAAGAGGTCGGGGGGGAGGGCTGGCTTAGTTAAATCAGGTTGGCTTGGAACGGAGCCGCCGCCCCTCCTTCACTTGAGACCGGCATTGAGCCCTTGGTTGGTATTGCATTGTTTCATTTTTTGCTCTCCGCCCCCACAGATGCGGAACTGGCTAGTCATCACTCTACTGGGGTAGGAAACTGAGGCTGGTGTCTCTTTAGGGCAGTGTTTCTCAACCTTGGCCACTTGAAGACGTCTGGACTTCAACTCCCAGAATTCCCCAGCCAGTGAATGCTGGCTGGGGAATTCTGGGAATTGAAGTCCAGACGTCTTCAAGTCGCCAAGGTTGAGAAACACTGCTTTAGGGAGACTGTATAAGAGAAGGAATCTTTCCAGAGACGTTTAACTCCCCCAAGCCCATCCCCGACATTACAAACTGTGCTTATTCAGCATCCCTCCTTTTGCAAAAGTGTTAAAGAAGCTCTGCTCTTTCAATTGTATACCAACCTGGTATAATGTCTGGGTGTTTCAGATTACCAATCCCAGTTACAGAACCCACAGTGATAGAAGTTGAACATATTGGGTGTGCACTACGTTGTGTGTCTTTGCGTTTACAGAGTTAATGCTCACAGACACACCCACCCCACTGCCCCAAGTTGCATTACTGTGCATTGCTTGTTTTCAAGGTGGACTGAGAACCCATTTCAGCTCTTTTCTGCAAGGGAAGCAGTGTCCTTTCTTTTTTTTTTCCTCTTGCCTTTGCACCTTTTCCAGTTGTAACATGATAAAAAGTGAAGAGTGTTCCCAGTTCAAGATGTTCTATTGTAGTGTTTCTCAACCTTGGCGACTTTAAGTCCTGTGGACTTCAACTCCCAGAATCCCCCAGCCAGCACAGATTCTGGGAATTGAAGT